GGGGGGGCGAGTGTCTCTGACAGCACTCTGACAAAAGATTCGGATCCAGATTATCTAATTCCTGTAAATTAACTAGGAAAAGATCCCAGAAGATGAAAACAGGCAGTCTAGCTAGCAGGTGGGCACGTCACAAGAAAGGGTAGTTAAATGGTTAATAAACCTAAGACAGATCATCAGTCATCAGGATATACAAACGGTAGGCATAATAGAGTGCCACTGAACACCAAGTGGGATGGCTACAGGTGACAGTGACAATCACTGGTGAGCTGTAGAGCAACCAGAACTCTCACATTGCCCTGGAGACTGAAAATGACCAATCACTGGAAAACTGGTGGCATGTATGTGAGTGCACCGTGTCATGCAATGCCTCAGAGGTCAGAAGAGGGCTTCGGATTCCCCTGGAACTGGGGTCAAGGGTGGTTCAGTAGCCACCATGTGGGTGCTGGGAATCGAACCTGGGTCCTCTGCAAGAGCAGTCAGTGCTCTTAACTGCTGAGCCATCTCTCCAGCCCCACACACACAAAGATATTTTAAGTGCACTTAAACCAGGTGGGTGCTGCCCACCTGTCATCTCAGCAGTCAGTAGCTGAGGCAGGAGGATTGTGAGTTGAGGCCAGTCTGAGCTACACCAGGAGGTCCCGTCTCAGAAAACAAAAGAAAATGTATGTAAAACAGAAATATACTCAGTCCTTTGGTATCAAAGTTCTGGTTTTATTTATGAAAAACTAAAACCGAAGTGAAGGCCTTCCCCGGTGTTTGTCCCTCCTGGAGCCACCAGGTGGCGCTCAATCCCAGCAAAAGACAACTTGAGGCACCCTCGGGCGTCCTACTCAGCTGCTAGCACAGTGGCAGGCCCATCCCATGGCCTGTGGATGCTCCAACCTGAGCCCAGAGCAAGTGGCACACACCTAGCTACTCACAGTCCAGCTCAGCCCCTGGGCATGTCCCTTCTCTGAGGCTGGGATTCTTTCTCCCAAAATAAGGATCAAGAAATTAAAACAAGGTGCTATCCATGTCTGCCTGTTAGACTGGACACTACAAGAATGCAGGGTGATGCCAACGCTGCAGTCATTGAAAGGAGGGACGCTGGGTACCTTGTGACAGCACAGTACAGCACATATGCATTCTGGGATAAGGCCTGACCTGCTGGGACAAGCAGGTGA